GAGCATCATTGGACTATACAAATGTGCTACTGTAGCCATCAACAAGAACCACAAACTCTAAAGGGGGAATTATATGAACTTAGCACCAGAGGAAGTTATCTCTTGAAGATAGCTACAAACACCTTGGCTTTTTGGAACATGACTCCATCAGCACAATTGATGTTAAAAGAGAAACTACACTGGAATACAAGAGACTATTAACTCTGGAAATCTAAGCTTAATAGAAACAGCCTCTATGAAGCAATTCATAACTTTGCCAGTCCAGTTATATCTTACACTACTGTGATGACAGATTGGACTCTGGAAGAACAGGGGTGGTTAGGATGATCACCAGACAACTAGTCAGCCTACAGAGTGCTTTACACTCAAGAGCAGATGTCAAGAGACTGAATGCACCTAACTGGAAAAGAGGAAGGAGGCTGAAGAGAACTGAGAGTCTTGTGTTTAAAGGGAATTGTGCGCTCTTTAAATACATAAAATACTATGCTGACTTTAATGTTAATATGTAAGGAAAGAATCATGGAGAAAGTCAGGAAGAAAACCCAAGCAGGATATGAAGCCTGTTTAAAGGGACAAGAAGCGAAGCCCCTTCATGGAAACTTCTTGAAAATGGTGATGAAGGTTCTTCTACATGGTTAAGAGCAGACCACTTGAACCTATCAGCTGTAACCATCATTATGGGCTTCACACATAAGTTGGCTGGAATACTGTGCCTGAAACCACAGACAAATGGTGAAAATGCAACATGTGCTAGGATGATACCCAATACTGTCAGCAGCTGCTTAACAATGGCAAAAAATGCGTACTAGGAAAGGCCCAACCAAGTAGCCAGTGCTCTTCCATCTGCGTAGGGGTCAGAAATGGTTGGACCAACAAACCTGATTCAGCAACACATGATGGAGTGAAGATCCTTTGGGACTGCACTGTGTTTGGCTAGGCCGGGGGAAACCAGAAAACCAGCCATCCTGCTGATTTGGGTTTCAGGATGACACCTACAAAAGTCACTGCTGCTTTAATCCAGAGCAGCAGAAAATTCAGCTGAATTGTTGAAGGGATTAGCCCTAACCATCCATTTCCATGCTGTTTACCTCAATCCAGAAATGAAGCAGTGGCAGCCCCAGCATCGCACTCAGCACTTGGGGTTCCAGCATGTTCAATGCTGGTGGCTTGAGATGCCATCAGAGCGTCCTCACTGCCTTATTTCCACGGTAGATAGAAGTGCAACAAGAGTGGGTAGATGGGGCTTATTCTGTCAGTGGTGAAATGTCTCTCAGGTCATGATATAGACATACCTATAGGCATTGCTTGTCTCTGGGATGAACATCTGGTGGTGAAGGAAGAAAAGATCCCCAAAGAGCAATCCCTAAGAATTGTATTTTAATGAGCATGAGGAAGAAAAGCCAAAGAACTATCTTTACAGATGCTCTAGGGACGCTGATTAAAACCCAGAAGGGCCAAATCTCAATGCCTTGGACATTTCCTGCAGTATTTAGAGCCTCCAAAAGCTGTTTCGTGAACACATCTTCCATATCATGATAGACCTTCTGAGGAACTGGTTGGCAACAGCTCTAATAAACAACAGGTTGATAGAGAGATGGTGGGAGGAAACAACAGGACAATACTGTTCGGCATGGAAAAGCAAGGTTGATACGAAACTAGACAGAGTTTTGAGTAATTTTGCATATCCCATTATTCCAGACACAAGTTTACACGGAAATGCAAACAACACAGACCAGATTCTGTTCTCCGAGGGCACATCTACACGAGGCACTTGATGTGCAGCAGCCCAATAACACTGCACAGTAGCATGCTGGGCAAAAACCATGCTAATACACTGCTGCACAGTAGTATTAGGCTACTGTGCAGTAACCATCACTAAAAAATGGTGTGCTGGTGCTACTGTGCAGTAACTGCAGTTACTGTGCATTTAGTTAGTACTTCATTAAGCAAGTAGTAAACTAAATGTGTAGTAACTACTGCACATGAAGGAACGTGCAGATGTGCCCAGAGAGAGACCATCTATGTAGTTATGCAAGTCCAGCTACCTATTATCCATAAGTTTGGTATACACATAGATTGCCAACTCATATTTGTATTTATTTATGAGTCAAGTAAGCTCTAAAACATTCATCTTAGTTATGAAATATTTGAAATATTTTATCAAATATACCTTTTAATTAAACAAGTACAGAGTCTAAATATCATATTTTCTCACAAACTTTTCCCCAAAAGTCAGCCCTCCAAAATTGGGATACACCTCTTAAGCAGGGAAGCTGACTTTTCTGCCTAAAACAGAAGCGCCTGCTTTGATTCCTGCTCCATAATCAACTGTTCAGCAGCAGCAGTGGTGCTACTTTTCAAGCAAGTGGGGGAGTCAGTTGACTTAATTGCTCATTGTTCTTCATTCCACAGGTGTTAACAAATGTCTCTCCTTTGTAACGGCCTTGATGTTTCACTAATTAAATTAACCTTGTTTCTGGCAATGTTGCTCTTCACTAGCTACTCCTGGTCTCTCCTTCCTCCCTTTTTGCAGCCTTGCAGACTTCTTAGTCCTGTCCCTGCTCTATGCAGGAATAAGTATGGAAAAAAACTTTTCCTCTTCATTCTGCATTTCCTAAAACAAGGTGTGTATCTTATTCTGGGGTGTGTATCTTACTCATATGTGTTGTGTTTACAAAAATATGGTATTAAGAACATTAGTGCTGTACTAGGTCAGACCAGTGGTCCATCCATCCATTTAGTATCCTGTGTCCAGGGGTGGAAGTAGAAGATGCTTTAGAAGGAGAGCGTATGAACAGGGAATATCTAGAGTGAACTATATCCTTTATTATACTCTCCCTGCCCTTATTATACATCCACCATCATCGGTCCTTCATGACATCCTTGGACTCTTCTGTTTAATAGCTATTAATGGGCCTGTTTGCCACGAATCTGTCTAATTCTTTTTTGAACCCAGTTATACTATCTTCTTCACAACCTCCTGGGGCAATGAGTTGTACAAGTTAACTATGCATTACACAAAAAGTAATTTTTTACATTTTTTGTATTGCTTCAGTACAATGAAATTTAAGATGCTTTCTTTTCTGCATGTGTAACACGTCATAAGAAAGATTATTTGTCTGAGAAATACATGCATTGTTTTGATATTATCTATTCTAATCTTTCCTTCTAATACATTAGGTACTATGGCATTGCTAAAAAGTGATTTAACTTCCCTGGGTTTTCACCAAATCACAATTTAAGCAAAGCTGCACGTATACCAAAGCAAATTGATAACAGTATTGGTGATCACGACACAAATGGTCTTTGTTCATGCTTTTGGGCTCAGATAGCATGCCATGAAACTGCACAAAAGCATTATTTCAACAATATGTCAAAATTATCACTAGAGTAATCAGTTGTATGTATGGTAATGAGCCGTTACATTTACTTTGCAAGGTGACTGGGACTGGTCATTTATATGCAAGTGGTTAAAAAAACCCAGAGACTAGAGCTAATAAAACTTTTCAGAGGCACTGTGTCAACATAAGTACAGAAGAGAAGGCAAACACCCTCCACATGTGGAACATTTGATAGCTAAATCTACCTAAGGAGAAGAGAACATAAAAACTTGAGATCACGATGGGAAAGCACAAGGAAATTCAACATTTCCTTCCTTCTTTCCCTCACCTCTGGACATCACAGCCCTTTACACCTAGCACTGCTTAATCTTGCCTCCAAGACAACTCAAAGAGGGACTTAATAGCCGCAACAAAACATTAACCTCACCAGGAAGGACTGCAAAACAATATAGTGCAACATTTAAGGAGTTCATTCTGCTCAGTTCACCAAAGAAAAGGCTGAAAAGTGACTTGATCACTGTGCTTGAAAAGATCTGATAGGAGCAGCATTTCAGTCTTGCAAAAAACAAAAAGGCAAAGCAAGGCAATACAAGCTTGAAACAGGTTTGGACCTTGTAGACAGATGCACTTCAATAGCATTGCAGGCAATGGAGCAGTAGAGGTGCTGGGTTCACTGTCACTTGGATTCTTGAAGAGAAGTTTAGATATCTTGCCAGAAAAAAATGCTTTCATTCAGGGTTTGGGGGGGGGGGGG